CTCTCGTGCAGCAGAATTTCAGAGGGCTGTGCATCTACACTATGTTTTCCTTTCTGCCCCAACCCTGCGTGTTCAAACCGAAAGCCATGTGTGTCTGTGCGGGTTATATAAAAATTCATGCAGAAGGGCTCTCTCTCGAAGGAACTGGAAGACGTACTGTGAATGACTGAATCTTGCCAATTAATAAATGAAGAAATGTATTAAAGCAAAGATACTGCCTCAAAAGTGTTTTTTAATTTATTTTGACAATCAGCTTGAATAATTTATCAGAATATTTCATAATGTACCAGTAAATGGACTGCTGGGAACATTTAGAAAAAATAATTAAGTCTTAGCAACTGGGCACCTCAGTACAGATTTTTTTTGTGGTGTAAAATCTTTGATCTTTGAAAAATGCGTGTGTAAATAGGCAGTCTGGCCCCAGGGGGTTCTATGCACTGAACTCCAGGTGCCTGGGCCAAATCCCTGGGTGCCCTGAAGTCGCTGGGAGCGGCACTGCTGACCCCCCAGCAGCGCAGCGTCCCTCCCGACGCACCTATCTGTGGCTCAGCGAGGCACGTACCCTCTTCTCCCGTGCTACCTGGATGGTCTTTGTCACAGTCCTCGGAATGTTTCTCTTGTTAGAGGTTGAGGAATCAAATGTGGAAAGTGCTAAAACAAATTCTAGCTTTATCCTTACCAGTTGCTGTATATCCCAGCAAGACCATGCTCAGCTGTAAACTCAATTTTAGAGGCTTTTTAGACTAAAGCAGCTCGCCGTGCCGCTTCAGCAGAGCAGAGGGGCCATTGTGGAAGTGTCTTTATTGATGAAGGTGAGGATGAGCCACACAGAACAGGACTTGTGGACTCTGGGGTTCAGAGCTGGCTGCGCGGGGTGCGGGGAGGTTTCTGGTGGCTGGAGATGGTATCGGAGGAGGCGGCTGTTACGTATGGCCCGTTATTAACTGCGCTGGAGCCTGGGAGAGTCCCAGTGCTTGGGATCAGCGTCCAGTTCTACCACTGGTTTCCACGTGACCTTGGACAAGTTGTTTTCCCCTTTTATAGCTCGCTCTCTCTCTGCAGAGGAACTTTTCTACTTAAATCCTGAGATCTTCAGGTTGAAGATCGTTTAATATTTGGTCGTTCAGTCAACATATGGATAAGGACTCATTTTTGTAATGGTCTTTAAGCAGTAGTTTTATTTTAAAAAATCAAGTAATTAGAAAATGCCTGGTGTTTTTTGAATACCCTCTAGTAACTAATTGAAACACATGAAAAGGGAAGGGAATGAACACCAGCTCACCCTCTTGGTTGGGCTTCCCCCACAGGCCTCTACCATGGAAAGTTTTACCCAAACAGGCAGCCCGGAGCCTGAACTCACCCAGTGGCAGATGTGCTGACACCCTCATTCCGTGCAGCTGGCCTGGGGGGGATTTGGGGTTTTTAGCAGATGTTCGTGCACTTTAAACTCATTCCATTCTTTCAATGGATACTAAAAACCCCCTCCTTGATGGGCGTTTGAGAAATATTACTGTACCCTCCCGTGGGCATTTTTT